ACCACATTGCAACAAATTGACAAGTTGTGACAGTTGGCCTTTAGGTCGAGCATGTATTTTGCGCCTCGACTGTCTTTGATTGTGCTGTACTCGAAGCCTAGTATTTGCCACAATAGCTTGGGAAGAAATAGTTTGTCCACCTTTGTGGGATCAACTTCCACCCAGGCACGGCACCGATTTGCATCAAACTTGAAAGCCACGCCCCGATTTTCTAGGGCCTTCTCAAAAAGACTTGTCGAAAAAGTGTCGTCGACCTCTTCTGGAGGTGTTTTGAAAACGGCTGCTTGTTTGGGAGGCTTTTCAGAAACAGCTAGAGGGGCACTAGGCGGGATAAGTTTCGGAAGTGGGCGATTGTTTGCAACGTTTGTGGGTTGTGCTTGAGGTTGCGCTGGTTTCGGCGTTGCTGGTACTGCAACTGTTTTTGCAGGTGTTTTTGGAGGTGTTGTGACTGGTTTTTCTGTTTGAGCTGTTTGTGCTAGCATAGCAGCGAGTTGGGGTGGTGGTGTGGGAGGTTTTGGTGGTGGTGTGGGAGGTTTTGGTGGTGGTGGTGGTGTGGGAGGTTTTGGTGGTGGTGTGGGAGGTATTGGTGGCGGTGCAGGAGCTTGGGGTGGTAGCGTGGCAGGGGCTTGGGGTGGAGCAGGTGGTGGCGTAGCTGGTTTTTCGGCTTCTGCACTTGGTGCACCGAGTGGGACTATTTTTGGGAAAGGTTTTGCAGTTTGCACATTTTCAGGCACTAAAGGGGCTTCGCGTTTCCTTTTTAGAGTTTTGGCAAAAATTGCATTTAGAGCGTTGATTAGTCGAGCAGGGGTTGAGTAAGTGCCTTGTGCTAGCCAAAGATGTGTTTCTTTGGCGTCTTTGGACCATAGTCTAAATTTTTGCGGTTCAAGGACTTGGTCCCATGACATTGAGGCTGCAAAGTCGACAAGGGCGCAAGTCCAATAACCTTGCTGACCATTCGTTTGATAGAGGTTGACTTCTTTCGCGAGGTGTGTGACAAAACTGGAACCTTTTCCTTCACGACGCCCTGGACCTACGAGTGTTACGTAAAAGTCTTCACTCATTTCCTTTGATAGCTTTGCTTTTCAACGGAGAGGGTACCAAAAGACACGCAACAGAAAGGGTAGCACTTAGCCACACTGTCACATCGTTGCCCTTTATATGGGCAATTGTCATGTTGGCGAGACATGCTATAGCAATGAGAAAAATGATGACAATTCTAGCCCATGCCATGTGAATGTTATTGCGGTACTGTGAGGTGGTCGACGAACGGTTTGAAAGCAGTTCTTCCATTATCAAAGTTTGTCCGTGTAAATGAGGCTTTTGTCGGGTGCCCACCCATTAAATACACCAGGTTTTTTGTGGTATTTGACAAGGCTGTGAGGTTGCCTACTTATGAACTTTGTAGCCAAAACTTTTTCCACTCGGTACATTTTTGGTTGTCGCACTTTTTGCAGTTCCTCCTTGTAGAATACTTGTCGAAGGGAGACCCCCTGTAATGTCTTTAGATAAAAGACTGGTGCAGAGAAATTTGCAGGTTTGACTATGCGTTTAATTTGGAACACTTCGCCAGAAAACGTGCCTTTGTAAGCTTTTCGAAACACCACTTGGCGTTTTTTTAGCAAGACATAGTCGTTTAGTGCTAGCGGCGGGTCCGGTTTTCGCAATTTAGGCGTACCATCAGGTTGTATGATTGTGTCGCGTTGCATTTCGTTAGGTGTCAACCCTTTTAGGGGTTCTGTTGGCGTATTGTTCAGACCCTCAACAATTTTCGGTAGCACTTCAACCCAATTGTAAGTGTTGTTTTCGGTGAAATATTTGTAGATGCGCGACTTTAGATCACGAATTTTACGTTCAGCTGGTGCTGCCTTAGCGGTTCCCTTTGTTAAAATGTGACGAATTTCGTTGTTTTTGAGGTAACGCCTCATTGGTCCACCGGTAAATTCAAGCCCTTGATCAGTCGTCAAATAATATGGCGGATCACCAATTTCCTTGTAAATTTGCTCAAAACGTCGTTTCACACTTTGAGGTTTCTTGTTTAGTAGAGGTTTGGCGTAGGTTTTTCGCGAAAACAAGTCTACAACCACCAAAATATAGCGTTGACCGTCATTGTATTGCTTAACTTTCTGAAAGTCGGCAAGATCTGCGACATGGTGACTGTTCATGCTAGTTCCAATAAACTTTTTTCTGGGAAACTTGTGTAGAACTCGTCTATGTAGAATGTAAGAATTTTTATTTTGCAGATATGTATCAACTTGTCGCTTTGTGATGTCATATTTTTTAGCTTCTGCCACAAGATTATTTCTTGACGTAAAAGCAATATTCGACTCAGGGTCAGTATATAGCAGATCAAGTATTTTAGTGATACTTTGCGACTTTGAACCTTTTTTTGGTACCACTACCGGTTTGGTCTTCGTCATCGCCATCCCAGGCTTCGGACTTCAATTTGCGCTTTTCTAGGATATCCCGCTGAAGTTGTCTAACGCGCTTGACCAAGTCACCGTTTGAAACTTTTTCGTCAGTCGCCAAGGGTGGACTAGTTGTGGTCTGGCTAGATGGAAAAAATTCCTTTTGTATGCCTTGAATTGTACGTGGTGTAAACACAGGTTCGTTCAATTGTTTCACAAGCCGTGGAGTTTTTGCTTGCACTTGGTGATAAGCGTCTTCGTAACCTACGGGAAATGGTCGTTTGGTTTCACTGGCTGCCGCCTTTGCAATTTCAAACAGGTTGCTACCTTCAATAGTTTCACCTTGCGTATCCAAGACTCTATTCTTATTGTCCGTCTTGACGTGCTTTGCCAAAAGTTTATAGCTTTTTTCATATGGATTTTGTTGCAAAACCTTTCGCGGTGCACTTTTCGCAGAGCCCTTTGCTTTATTTTGTGTATTTTGCGTGGCCGTCTGATCTCTGGCGGTTTCAACTGTCGTCGTTTTCAAAATTTGTGTAGGTAAGGGGTCAAACTTGCGAATTTCTTGGACAAGTTGTGTCAAGAAATTGAGAAACTTGTTATACATTTGCATTTTCATATCATCGGGAAGTGTACTTTGTAGTACGTTTGCCATTTGTTGTTCAGTTTCTTTGGCTTGCTCAACAATTTTCTCACGAGGTGTATGAGCATAACCTTCACCTTGCTGCTCGTCGTATGGTACAAGGACCATCTTTTCGAAACTTTTTCTCGAAGCTGTCATTCTCAAATGCCAACGCGGGTTTCGTAATAACTTTTAGTAGTTTTTCGTGAAGCAAAAGTGTTTGCCGCGCCTTTGTAAAATCGCGTAGCTTACTCAAGGTTTGCAAAGTAGCCAAATGCGTTAGAAGGCTTGATTTCTCGTATTTATAGAGAGGTACGGTACCTATGGTTAAGTTGTAAATAAATTCGACAAGGGTTTGTATTTCTTTGTCGGTTGCTTTTCGAATCACCACTTTTGGGTTTGAAGCTTTGTCAATTTTGTGAAAAATTTGCAGGTTGTGTGGACGACTTTGCATTTTTGAAAATGACTACTTGGGTAGATAAAAAATTTGCCTTTTATCTGGAAAAATGTCTGTAACGAGACGTTCGTTTCGATTTTCCAAATTTGGATGACAATTGATTACGAGATATTGATAAGGTTTTGCAGTTGCATCGAGATAACTGGCCCAGAAATAAGGAAATTGGTTAGGAAAGCACTGTAGACCCACTTGGCGAGCTTGTAGTAGGTCTGAGACAGATCTTAAAAGGACAATGTAGTTTGCATTGATGCGGGCGGTACGGCGGGTCCGAAATGCGTCTTGGCTTAGGAAAATTAGTGTACAGTTTTGGTGGTGAGTAATTCGCGAAGTCAAAGCCGCCATCACGCTTTCTTTCATGTCAAGCATCAAATCGTCAAGGATTACGACGGCATTTTTGAAGCTTTCGATTTGCTGGTCGCTTGGTGGACCCTCAAATATATGAAAATTGGCAGGCATTGCTGGATATTTTTCTTCAATTTCATGTTTTGATCCGGTAAAGTAGTAAATGTCTTGGATTCCTTCGTGACCGTCTAGAATTTCTTCTAAATATTCGAGAAATTTCATTGTCCATGTTGTCTTGCCGCCCAAGGATTGACAAAACACAAAAATAGAACAAGGATGTTGGAATTTGAAAGGTTTACGTTCCATATTTCTTACCTTGAAGGGGAAGTCTCTCTATTTATGCCTCCTGCGGTCAGCTGTTGTTTTTCGCAACTGACCCGAAAAACCCTTTCCCTGCGTTGGGGTCCCAAAACCCCCTTTCCCTACATTGGGGGCCCTTTCCCAGTTGGGGCCCAAAACCCCCTTTCTCTACGTTGGGGGCCCTTTCCCAGTTGGGGCCCAAAAACTCCCCTTTCCCTACGTTGGGGGTCCTTTCCCAGTTGGGGGTCCCAAACGCCCCGCGTTCGAAAACGGCTGCCGGGTGTCAGCTGTCGCTTGAGTCTCCGCCTGTTTTGACGCGTACAAACACGCTTTGCGGTAGTACAAGAAATATGGTATGTAAAACAGAAATTGACTTGGTGGCATGTGTTTTTTGAAGGGGGGGGGTAAAAGGACCGATACTAGTAGTCACCCAATCTCTCGATCTCGGCGCTTCTCTGGTCAATTTTGATAATTTAAAAGTCTGGAAGGATCAAAATTCGGTGAAGATTCCAAAAATAGCATCAGAATTTTTAAATTTAAGTGTTTTGTCGTCCAAACAGGGACAAAAGACCGTCCGGCGCGTTCGCGTTGCGGTCGGATCTGGCTATTTGCCAGGAATCACAGCAGGGGGTCCTGGACCAGATTTCGGGGCCCGTTTAAACTTTTGTTTTTCACCAGTGCATTTTGTAAAATAAATAAAAATGTGGAGACAGAAAATTTCGACCCTCGGACATGAGATGAAACATGGTTTTTGTCCAAATTGAATAAAGACTTATCCAGGCAGAAGTAGCTTCCCTAATTCGGAGAATTTATGATGTTTCGTGTATCGGTCAGGATCAGAAACACAAAAAAATGTTTAATCGAGGTTTTTCAGCGTTCAACTCGTGAGCATCTACGAAAAGCCGACGGTGGCTGTAATGTCTACCGGAAATGAGGTGGGCAACGTTTCCCAGAAATCGACGGCAGGCTAGTGTTGATTTTGTGGAAATTGAAAGCTCGGAGGTTTCAAATAGCCAGGCGACCGCTGTTTTGCGATTTTTCGATCAACTCCCGTAGCAGTATCGAAGATGCCATTTTTTTGGTGATGTCGTCATTTTTTCGAAACAATTTTTTTGTTGTTAGTCTTCACATTTTTATAAATTTTTTGTTGGAGTATCCCAAAAATGCTTACAAGGAGATGTCGGTACTGGTTTGTTACCAGGGGGTGAAAATTATTTTTTCCCTGTAATTCGGTACGGCCTTATACGAATCAACAAATTTTCAGAGCATTTTACGCAATTTTACGACAATTTCTAACTTTTTTGTTAAAAAAATTTATTAAAAAAAGCACAAATTCCAAAATATCAATTTTAAATAGATTCTCTAAAAAAATTTTTGGGCTTTTTTTCTAAAATTCTAATTTTTTTTCTAGAATTTATCTAGAAATCAAAAACTCCTAGAAACACTATAAAAATCGATTTATTATAGTCACGGGTCAGCAAAAAAATAAAAATTAGGTTTCCCTCTGTTAAGCCCCCCCCCCCTCTGCTAACAGCCCAGTACCGGGAATTCAACCGGGGTAATATGGGATAAAAGAATGCTGCGTTGCAGAGACTCAGAACTAGTGAATAGCAAATCACCGAGGATTCGCCGAAACGTGAAACAAATTGACCTAAAAATAAAATCCGGGGTGTCGCAATAAAAAACCTCCCTCTAACGCAGAATTATCTGATCGGAATGATAGTTGCACCATTCGAAAGCCCTTGGAACGACCAGTTTGCAAGACTTTTAAAATCCGTGTTTTTATTTAAACCCGCCATTTTACAACGCATTTAAAAACATTAAGGATCGGTCTCTGCATCGAATCAACGGCTACTTCCGGTCATTTTTTTATGGAGAAATTAAGGCAGATTACCTCGTATACAACACCGAAAAATTGAAAAAATTGCTTGTAAGATAGAGCGTTTCAATAAAAACATGTTTATGAAGGTTGTTGCAAACTGGCGGTTCCAAGGGCTTTCGAAAGGTGCAACTATCATTAGGATCCGATACTTCTGCGTCGAGTTGGAGGAGCAATATTTTCGAACCCCACCTACCGTATCTCGGCTCCCTGCTCATCTACAGGTGTGTAAAGTATACCAAAATACTCGCCACAGCAAGGCGAAAATTTTGGTATATTTTACACACCTGTAGATGCACAGGGAGCCGAGAAACAAAAGTTGGGTGCCGGTTTGGGGGTTGGGGGTATCTGGAGTCTTACCATATTTTTTATCGGGATATCTTATACAGCTAGGAAAAAAAATTCAAGGGTTTTTGTCCCAACCTCCAAGATTTTAAGGTAATCAGAAAACTTTTATCGCGTTATTACAAGGGTATTAGTATCAGCTTTAGGTTTGCGAAGCCGTAACTCAAAGGGTTCCGGTGGGCCATATCCGCGACACAAATCGTCCTCAACTATTGGCCCTATTCCGTCAGACAGGGGCAAATGTGCTGGATATGAGGATTGTTGAGGACGAGTGGGTTCTTAATTGTTTTTACAGGGACTGACAAGGCATTACCATCAATTTTTCTGGCTATGGATTTATCACGGAAATTGGGAGGCCCTCTACACGCAACGCGCCCGCACGCGCCACTTACATTGCCTAATCGATTATCGTCATTTTTACTGGGCCGTCAGACACTTACTTACGGATTACTGCTGTTGGCTAATTCCCACCGACCCTGATACATTTTTGAAACACTTAAATTGTAGAAAATATTCTTTCCTAGCTTGGTAATTCGCAAGTCCCCGACAAAATAAGGTATCGTTTGCAGCGACAACCTCATTATTTGAATTTATTTCTCTTAAAACTGCATCCTGTGCATTCTACCGGATAATTAAAAATTTTCGACACAAATTATATTAAACCAGCGCTGACCACCCGCTACGCGGGGGTTCAGCGCTGGCCTCCCACTGCAATTTGAATTTTTAATTTGAATGCAAAATTTGGCTGAATTCCCGGTCTGTCGGTCGGCGCGCGTACGAACATTAGAAATTTATATATAGTAGATTTATGAAACATTTTAGTCAGCCAAAATGGCGTAGCGTTTGATAGCTAAACAAATGTTGCTGTGCCCGAATTAGCAGAAACTTTTAAAGGCTACTAATTTTATCGTAAGTATACAACCTAGTTGCAGGTTACAAAAAATTGTTTCGTCCAGGGCTCCAAACAATTCCGGTTGCAGCCCGACAATCACCCCCGATGTATTTCAAAAAATAACCTGGCATTTTCAAGGAGTACACCCTGCAAAAAATTCTGATTTGTCAATAGAAATAACAAAATTCTTATAAAATGCTTTTTTAAATTTACGTTACCTTCAATAATTGCTAAGAAACATCCGGATTAAATTTGGTGGAACACTTCTAATCAAATGTTTCGTCCACCATTCCCCCACGATTGCAGTTTCGATGCGATAATCACTGGATATTGAGTAGAATTTTCAAAAAAATATTAACTTACTTTGGAAGTTTGGACTAATACATAGACATTTAAACTTGGTGTTCATATGTTTCTTCCAGTCTACCGCTCAATTAAGGTTTTGACTCAGTAATAAAAACATCCGCTTGCGAAATTATGGCGTAATCACTCGATAATTTTTCCTTGGTTTGTACTATCGACCCGCATACACAAGTATTAAATTTTGTATCATTTTGTCTAATAGGACCGTACGGGAATATTGAAAGCAAATCCTCGCTAACCCTCCCCCGCCAACAGACCAGTATCACCAGTCGACACATAAGTAAATGTTTCGCCCAGCATGCCAATCAAGGCAACCTTGCCATCGATAATTTTAATGGATTTGGGTCATATTCACAAGTATTTTTAATAGAATCGTGCTCGACTAATGAAAAAAACGGCTTTCCCGCTTACCCCCCCCTGTTAAGAATCCAGTACCCAAAAATCGGTGCCTGAGTAAATGTTTCGTCACTTCTGCCACACAACTGGGGTTCGAACTCCACAAATCGTGAATCCGGACGTATCGAAGGTATCTAAAAATATTTAATTTTAGAGAAGATACCCTCGTGAAGGCCATCTCTACCGCGTTGTCCGTCTGCTCGGTTCTGATCTCTTCCGGCGGCGTCTCCATGGGCGAAAAGGATCTCCTCAAAACCGTTCTGGCCAACAAGTTTGGATTTAAGGTATTCGGACTTTCCTGCCATGAATAATTCAACACGTATCGCTATCACCGGACAGACAGTAAAATTACGCTCTAAACATTGAAATGAAACATGGTTTTCGGAAACTTTTCCACCATTTTTTTGACGATTTCTCCGAATTTCAGCTTGTTATATTTTTTTATTCAAATAACGACAATAATGGTATGCCAGTATTACTAAAAAAATATACTAAAAAATCGATTGGAAACCCCCAAATCCAAGAATGCTCGAAAATCGCCCATTTTGGCCCATATATTGAGAATTTATACCTTTTGTAAATCCAAGTTTCTAACTTTTTGCGGTACGAATATAAAAACTACGTTATAATCACTTCATCTATTTATTTTGAAAAAATAGATCCAGAGAAAAGACTGGTCGATCGCAGAATGCGCAGAATTATGTGTTTGTTAAGTCCGTAAAACCGATCTGAACACGAAACGTGCCAATTTTTTGTAATTTTTAAACGGAAAGATATGTTTTTTTTGGGTTCAGGCTCTCGATATCTTATGGCGCTTCCCGGAAATACTACGCGTTTGCTCTGTATTTTTTATTTTCATTACGTAAGGTATTACGGTTGTTAAATTTTTGGTTTGGGCCAAATAACGCGTGCGGGCCTGGAGAACCTAAAAAATTAGTAAAAACCAGGGTTGAAAAACCGCTTCGCGGCTTTTCAACCCTGGCCCCGTCTTCTCCAATGATATTCTTGGCATGAAAAATGTTCTTGCCGTCCCGTTTTATAGGCGACCGCGACTTCCGGCGCATGCTAATTTGATCCTAACAAATTGAGGTGTCCGGTTTTCCATGAAAAACCTAATTTTAATGTCGAAAACAGCTTATTTTGTAAAATCTAATATGTGTGCAGTCATCTCCGGCCCATTACGCATCTAATGACGTATCGAACATACACACACACAGACATTATTTTTTTATTAGTAGGAATCCATGACCACCCTTAGCCGCTCCCTTAAAATTCGAGAGATAATGTAGATTTAGGGGAACTCCTTGTCAGACGCCAAAAAAATAATGTTTCAACTTTCTTTAGCCGATGGCTGTTTTTTTTGGAAAAACAATGGTCCACTCCGTCTTTGACGATACGCCCTTGAACGAATGTTTCAGATCCATTTCGGGCGTGTTTTTATGAAGCCCGGATTGCCGACGACTTTTGCGACGGGGGAATTTAATGGCCAGAAAAAGGTATATTAAAAGTTTTATTAAAAACTCCTGATTATCCAAATTATCTTTGCTTTGACGTATCAAAATAACATTTATCCACTCAAATAACTCGATTTTCGGGTTTTAATAACAATATAAAGCTGTGCACTTTGTTAATATTAATTTTAGTTAGTATTCGCACTGCCTGGAAACCCAGTCTCCTCCTGGGTGTGCGCCCAACTTTTCGCCGTCCCAGCAGTCCGGAAGCTACGCGGCGAAACACGATTCCGTCATACCAAAATGGCCGTAAAGGTGAGTAATTCGGCATTAAACGGCAATTAAACAGATTGGGGATCTTTTGCATGATCGGGGGTGGGGTTGACCATTTCAAAACGTCAAAACTTTTATAAAAAAAGGGTGTTTCGACCAAGAATGGGCAGTTTTAGACGAATATGGCGTCTTATTAGAGTTTTTTTAGAGTTTTCCGCTCAGAATATAGCTTGATTATATTAAAAATAACATGAAATAGTTATTAGTAGTAAATAGTTGTTAGACATTTCTGGACCATATAAAAAGATCTGCCCCCCCGATAATGCGCAAGCACCGCATTTCGCCCGAAATTCGAATCCCGAGCGGCAAAATCGTAAATATAAGAATCCGAACAATTACATTTACATTTTTAGCTAGCCGATACCGTAAGACTGGATCCGCGTCCGGAATTCCGGAGGGCATTCATCGAACGGAATGAGGATGGGACCGGACTGCCTCTAGCCACCACCACCGGCAATCAAATTTCGAGCCGTTTGGTTAGCCTCAGGGTACGTAAATTATTACTGTCTTTGTGCCTTTAAAACTGCTTTATTGCACCAAAAAGTATCCAACTGTTTTTAGGGAGCCCAACTGCTACTCGAATTGCCCGGAAAAACCGACGGCCTAACCGAAATCCCGGCCGGATCGATCGTTGAGGGCCTCGTCATTGGCAGACTATAAATTTTTATTTTGTTGTAGTTTTGCGATTTTTTGGTGTTGGTGATAGCGGGGATTCAATACTATTAAAAACTATGCAAAAATCACGCCAAACTAGGGAGCGAGGTCAGTCAGTACCCCCGAGACACGAGAGCAATAGCGAACGTCGCCCACCTGGCCCACTATGTTAGCACATAGGCGCAGCCCTCGCACGGCTAATCGGAACAAGTTCCAAGAAGCTTGAGGTTTGTATTAAACCGAGTTCTTCCCTACGGAAGTCTCGTAAATTTTGGAAGGCAGCGTTCGGAGCTGCAACTTATTTATTCGATCTGTTATTTTGGTTTGCTTTTAAAGTTGTTAATGAGTTTTCCCCGACCTCACATGAAAAGGTGGTGAAGTTTGAATCCCTGATTGATCCCTACAGCTTATCAGAGAATTTGCTTGCCGCATCACACCCCACTCCCATTGAACATTCCAGCCAGGCTTCTGTTTATTGATTTTTTTTTTCTCTGCCTGGATCAAAGCCCTGAGCTCCGGCAATTGATGCTCAAACTTTTTCTGGGATTTTCATTAATCGGTTGGTTTTTGAAATAAATAAAAAGATCTTTATACAGTGCTTTGGCATTATCGGGGGCGTTTTTAGCTGGACCCCATTTTTTTTGGCTACAAGCGCATGTGATTATAGACAGTTTTTATTAATCGTAAGCTTAACAATTCAGCACGTTGAAAAAAGCAAAATATTATTTTTTACCAACAAGTTTAAGCAAACGAAATAATATTAATAAAAACCAGGAAGCACATTACTTAAGTGCTGTCATCGTATTGAAATACAGGGCTGTTTGTGGCGTTCGACCTGAACCTGTGCGACACGAAGAAGACGATCCAGTGTGAGCTGTGGGAGACGTGTTGTCCTGGAAAGGGCGGGACTTACGGTAATTTATAGGTATTAGAATGCAAATTACAATTCGCACTTGCAAGTTTAAAAAAAGATCAAATCGGAAAAGGATAAAAAATTTTCGCAGGCTCTAAATTGCCACATGGAAGAAACATTCTGTCGCGAATTTGTGCAAAATTCTTGGAAAAAATTGAATTATACAGCCCCTCTAACTCGACGCAGAAGCATCGGATAGGAATAGTAGTTACACAATTCGAAAGCCCTTGAAACGGCGGGTTTGTGAAAATGTTTGCGCCATGTTTTTAATGAAATGAACCATTTTACAACGCATTTACAAACATTAAGGGGCGCTCGCTGCATCTATTTAACGGCTACTTCCGGTCATTTTGTAGGGAAAAATTGAGGCAAATTAGCTCGTATGCAACCCCGGAAACCCGCAAAGTTTACAAAATGGCTTGTTACACAAAAATAAATATAATACTTAAAATAATAACACGTAAAATAACACATTTAAATAAAATATGATTTTGAAAATTTTTGCAAACTGGACGATGGGATTTCGAATGGTGTAACTATCAATCCGATCCGATCGAGTTAAAGGAGGTGTTTTAATGCGTAAGAACCATAAATCGAAATAACGCGTTTCAGCTTGTTGCCCATATCTGAAGGGGAATTGCTGTGGACTCGATTCGGACAGATGCTGCCCACCCGGCTTCAACTGTGGCCCCGCCGGCTGTCAGCGGGTTTGTTTTAAAGGGGCGCGCAAGGCAGATTTTGGTTCTGCGACCTCTGGATTTCGGCCTATGTTAATTATTTCCTAAAATCATTTTTCCTAAACTCGTTTTTGCCAAAAAAAGTTTTTCCGAAATAGGTATTTTTCTTTAAGCACAATTTTCCAAAAATTTCTCATGTAAATAAGGAGGTGCAAAAGTATCAAGAAAACGCAGATGCTGTCATTGTTATTGGTAATCAAAGCTCTTGTTTGACTTTTATAAAAACGATTTTGAGGAAAAATGAGTTAAGGACAAATGATTTTTAGGAAAAATGACGGCATTCCTGGATTTCCTATTTATTATACTTTACTATGACGTTTTTTGCTTTATTTATTTTTTTATTTCAGATTCCGCACAACGGAACCGCGCTCTGAATTGCCACACCTTCAATTAATCTCGATTCACACCTCCAAAAAAGTATCGATTCCATGAATAAATTGTTTCTCAATTCAGTTAACGTGCTGGTACTGGACTGTTAGCGGGGGGAGGGTTGATTTTGTCCAGAGCGGCGATATTAGCGAAGTGCTACAAAGTTGATTATTAAGTATTCAAAAAAAAAAATGTTGAAATTCGAAAATTTTGAGGTTTTTGTCACGATGTTTCATACACTTACAACAAAAAATAGACAAAAATTGTCGCAATTTATTTCTATCAATAGTTATCTAGATCTAAAAACTGCGTAAAAGGCTATAAAACCCATATAGGCTTCCTTCAAAGGGCATACAGGACGATTGGAAAAAATGTAAAGATTTAACGAATTTAAAAAGTTAAAAACTAGAAGATTTAAGGTAACAAGCCCCCCCCCCCCCCGCTAACAGGCCAGTACAGGAAAAATCGGTCGTAATGGGTGAATTGAATGCAAGCCAGATTGTGCAATTTGCATATCAGTTTCCCTCGCTTCCTAACATTTCGGAACGTTTTTCCGCTGTTCTTCATCGTGCATCTCGCCGAGAAGGTCGGTTTTAATGGTCTTTGGAACTGTTTTAGGAGTTACACAAATGCGCTACTGGGGGCTGCTCGGGCTCGTCGCCGTGCTGCTCGTTGGCCAGCTGAACGGTGGCCACGTCGTCGAGGTGAGAACTCCGGCGTTATGCCATGTACTATTATCTCTCTCTCTCTCTCTCTCTCTCTCTATCTCTCTCTCTCTCTCTCGCTTTCATGCTCATTCTCCCTTTCAGGGTCAAGTCGGCGGGTTGAACGAGTTCCAGCTGAAATTCGGCGAGAAGTCCCAGAAGGCTCACCAGGAGCTGATCTCGACGGCCAAGCTGAACCACGACGCCCTAGTCGCCGATGTCGCCAAGTACAGAAGCCCCGTCTTCGTCAAGGACAACAGCCAGATGAAGGTATCGACTTAATTTAATGACCGGCGGGGATGGCGTCGGTCGAACGGTAAAAGTCGCGTACCTGGCCCACTGTCCCATCAGATATGCCGTGACTCAGATTGTGGCTTGACTTAATTCAACAGGTTTGAGGTTTGTAACAAACCCGAGTTCTTTGAAACGGAGAGCTCGTAAATTTTGGAAAGGGACCTTTTGGGCTGCAAAAGAAGTTTTTTCTGCTCTACCTCAATTTTCAAGCATACGGCGGCCGACAAGGACCAGTACGAGTACGTGCCCGGGTCGACTGTCGGCCAGCAGATGCGAGACTACGAGTTCATCCAGGCGCCGCTCAACGAGAAGACGGCACTCGATCTGTCGCCCACTTGTTTCGAGGTGAGCATCGTTTTTATCTTAATGGCGGAGGAAGTTGTACATGGCTTTAGTCGTTCTTGAGCATGAGCATAACAAATTTACAAATTTCGACTTCCACAACGTTTTTGCTGGTTTTTAAAGTTTGCTGCTTCAAACAGACATTCTGTCCCTCGCTCTGTCGCGTCCATTAAAAATATCTTTCCTTCAGGGTCGAGTCGGCGGGCTAAGCGAGTTCCAGCTGAAATTCGGAAAGATGTCCGCCGAGAAGAAGCAGGCCCAGCAGCAGCGGATCTCGTGCACCAAGCTGAACCACGACACAGTCGTCGCCAATGCCGCCAAGTACAGGAGCCCCGTCTTCGTCAAGGACAACAAACCGATGAAGGTATCAGCTTCATTTAATAGCTGGGAGCTGTGGGTGGTGATCCGGCCGGCGCAGTAAGAACTGCACACCTGGCCCACTGTCCCGTGGGATGTGGCGTGCCTCTGACGTGGATTGGACTTGATCCAACAAGTTTGAGGTTTGTAGCAAACCCGAGCCTCCGAACGGAGTTCTCACAAATTTTGGAAAGCGGCCTTTTGAGTTGCAAATATATACCTGCGTTTTAAGTTTTTTTTTACTCTGTTACGTTCCTGTTTTCAGCTGAAGAACACGGCGGCCGGGAAGGACCAATACGAGTACGTGCCCGGGTCGATCGTCGACCAGCAGATGCGAGACTACGCATTCATCCAGGCACCACTCAACGAGAAGACGGCACTCGATCTGTGGAGGACCGTTTGGCAGGTATCGAACACATTTCGTGGTTGGCTTGGCTTCCCTGGCCTGTCAAAGGATCTGATCTGGCGCGTAACGGTCGTGAGCCGGAGGGGTCCTTGTAAAAACCGCTTTTCCAGGACCCGACGCGTCTGGTGTGTTCGGTATCGCAGGAGAAACTGATCGGCGAGGAGACGTCGAGCAAATGCTGGCCATATAGGCCGCGCAGCGAGGACAAGAGCATCTCCTATGATGTGGGTATTCTTAATGTGCCTATAATATCTAAAAGCAATTTGCTCCCCCCCCCGTTAGCAGTGCAATACCTCGTTTTTTACAGAACGGTCGCTTCGTGGTGAAGTGTAAGAAGAAAGGGGGCGAGCGCAAGAAAGGGTTCACCATCTGCGAGTTGATCGTCGTTGGACCACCCGATGAGGACAAAGTATCGTCGCGTACTACTGGCTTTTAACTCGATTTTTCAGAAAGGCGAAGAGAAGGGCGGTGGCGCCGACACGGAGGGGCGCCCGGTACGGGAATATTGCCCCAAAAATATGTTGCCTTCTAGGTTACGCTTCTCCACTTCGAGAAGTGGGCGCCGGAGAAGTGGATGGATGGAGAAAATGTGTTCCATCTCGTCATGGAGCTGCACAATCGCACGCAACAGGTAAGAGAGAGAGAGAGTGAGAGAGAGAGAGAGAGAGAGAAAGAGAGATAGAGAGAGAGGAGAGAGCGAGAGAGAGAGAGCAAAGAGCGAGAGAGAGAGAAAGAGAGAGAGAGAGACAGGGACAGAGACAGCTAGAGAATAAAAGATTTTTCCAGCCTTGTGACAAAGTGACGGACCGCTACTCCGCGCCCGTCCTCCTGCAGGACTACGAGTTGTGCTGGAGGTTCGGCTTTTAAAGTAGCAGAACAGGCACCCCTTACTTTTCCCATTATTTCTTTTATTTCCCAAAAACTAATAAAAACTATGAGCTACAGTGCTTTTGCATTATCGGGGGGGGACGACCGGGGCTTTGTTTCTGAGGATCGGGTTTTTAAATTATAAATAGCGGAAGGCTGTTTTCACTATTAATAAATATTTCATTAAATTTTTTGTATCCCAAAAATGACCGACTTTTCTGGGCTTTTTTTGAAAAATTCGGATCCCCTCACCCGAGATGTGAAAGAAACTGTATCAGATAAAACCGTTCGATTGACGTGTTAAAGGGATTCTTTTCAGCAGATTCACGAACGCCTCGCCATCCGCTACTATCGGCATCGTCATCTTCCTCATGCTGTTCAACTTCTTCGAGTGGATCTTCGGCGATGCAGTTTAGCACAACGATCGACTCGGCGCTGGCGCCAACTTAGCCACGACAAGGTGAAAATTAAAAATAGTGCGTTTGCATTATCGGGGGGAACGAACTTTTTTTTGCAGAAACCTAGAAATGTTAGTAATTTTATAGGAAGTATTTTGACAAATATAACTTTGTTTCAACCAAAAAAACCATCAAAAAACGTCAAAGTTTTGAAAACAAATCTAAATTTCGTCAAAAAGCGGCCTTTTTGGCCGAAAAATAATTTTTTTTTGTATTTGTATGCAACAAAAAAAATATTTTTGTTTTTTTAATAAGAACTTATAGTTTAGGAATAGGAAAAAACTGTGTTTAGAAATACTGCCGCTATTTCTAGTAAAAAAAACAGGCTCGTTAGAATAAAATTGCCCCCCCCCCGATAATGCGAAAGAACCGATAAAAACAACTACCAACAACCCCAACAACTCTACACCCCCCCGCTAACAGTTTCGTACACGCAATTTTTGCAGCGCGTCCTCGGCGAGTGAGCCACCAGATTCGCCACGTCCACCGGCATCTGCGAGGCTTTCAGAGCTGTCCGTCGAGGCGACGCAACCGTAGCCATGAGCCAGAAAAATATATGATTGTCATTATTTAGCACAAATTCACCGATCCGATTGACCGCCAGCGCAGTGGAAGTACCAGACCAGCCAGCCGCCCAAGCCGAAGCGTCTCCACCACCACGACGACGTAGCCCGACGATTATCGGAGGACGCGTTAATCGACTGGATCGCGAGAGTCCGTAAGTCCATGATATCTCTCTCTCTCTCTCTCTCTCTCTCTCTCGCTTTGTCCCTCTCTTCCCCCCTCGCTCTCTCCCGCTCTTGCTATTTCTATCTTCCTATCTCTCGCTGTCTCGCTCTCTCACGCTCTTTGTCTCTCTCTCTCACTCTCGCTCTCTCACTCTCTCTCTTTATCACCTTCTCGCTCTCTTTCTCTCTCTCTCTCTCTCTCGGTCCCTCTCTCCCTTTCTCCCGCTCTCTCTCTCTCTCTCTCTCTCTCTCTCTCTCTCTCTCTCGCTCTTTCTCTCATGCACCTCTTTCCATCGTCATAGGATTTTATGTCAGCATTTCCAGGCCAAACTCGCTCACCCGCACGGAGCGCAGCGCGTCGTCTTCGTCCAGCTCAGAAAAGTAAAATCAGGAAAAAAATCTGCGTGACGTGGCCTTTTTTCAGAGGGGCGCCACTCATCAACAAGGTCGACCAGCGGCCCTACTTTGAGGAGATGTGAGAGAGAGCCTTTTTCCCGGTTTTGCGATCGTGGTTTCGAAAATTGAAAATTTCGCAATACGCTATTTTAAATTTAGATTGATTTGCATCACTTTTACAGACAAATTTACAAGTTGAAAATTACATTTAAATTTCAACAAATTACCTGCTGGCCCAGAAATGCCTAGTAGCGTAATAGGAAGCTTTTCATAGTGTTTTTGATGAGATTTAGCGGGATTTCAAGGCAGAAAGACATTAAATAACTGGGGGAAAAATGTCTCACCTAAAATGGAGGTTGAGACTCGAGATTTTTGTATCCGTCCTCAAAAATGTGTCATTTTTTGTAAAGAATAGTAAAAACCGTGATTTTCGACATTTTATATGTTTTTGCAGGGAACTGCTACCGCAGCCTCCCCCGGGGCCGACGAGCCGCCCCGAGTTGCCGGCCATCCACCTGAAGACGTACATCGGCGCGACGCCGGCCTGGTACGTTGAGTGGTGCCCGAACTTTTTTGTAGAGTTATAGAAATATCTGAACTATCTATCTATATGTTTCAACTAGAAAAATTACCTAAAAACTTTAAAATTTTCAAAAAATCGAAATTTTGGTCGAAAATTAGATATTTTTCAAGAAAAATTTCTAACGTTTTACGTTTAAGAATTGTAAATAACAGCTTAGAAATGTTTGTAAAATATTTTTCTGTTTCTAGAATCAGTAAACAACCGGGAAATTCGGCATCATGAATTTCGACATTTTGTACGCATTTTTTCCAGTGATGCGTTCTTCTCGCCACCATCCCCCCGCATCGACGTCGACTTCAAGCCGTTCGTCACCGCCGACGCGCCGTCGCCCATGATGTACAGGGTGTCCCAAAAAAAACGAACCATCTGGCATTTCGCCGTGTTACATCCAATCGGTCCCAAATTTGGGCGAGAGGTGTATCAGACCCTAAATAACAACAATCCTGACTTATAGCCTTGTAGCTATAGTAGTTTTCGAGTTATGGCAAAAACAAACTTTATTTTCTATTTTTCATAGGGTTTGCGTGGAATTAGATCCACTAAACATTAAGTGAAAACGATCCGGAAGGCCTCCTTTACCTTACGACATTTTTTCCAGAAAATATTAATTAAATAAGCTTTGATTTAAGCGAATTTTACAACGCAAAATCACCCAAGTTCTTAAGCGAAATTAGGGATTCGCAGCCGGAAGCCGATGCAAATCGATGCAAAGTCCAAAAAGATAGCCGAAAAAAACTGTTCAGAATTCCGGGAAAAGTAGTATTTTCGTTATAACTCGAGAACGACTGTAGCTACGAGGCTAAAAGTCATGATCGTTGTTATTTAGGGTCTGATAGACCTCTGGCCCAAATTTGGGACCGATTGGATGTAAGACGGCGAAATGCCAGATGGTTCGTTTTTTTTTGGGACACCCTGTACGTTGCGTGGTGACGGACATTTCTTTGATAAGTCTAGAAATGTCTAGTAACTTAATAGAAGGTGTTTTATTAGTGTTTTAGCATAGAATAACCATGTTTCAATTACAAAAACTATCTAAAATTTTAAAATATTCGACAAGTCGAAATCCCGGTCGATAAATCGATTTTTTTTTAAAGAAATTTGCAAGTTTTCATTTTTAGAAATTGTAAAATAACCTTTAAAAACGCTTATTCTCCAATTTCGATCGAATTCCGAAAATGAATTTTAAAAGGTCATCCATTTATGAAATTTTAGTAGATAGAAAGAGAATTAAAATTAAAATTATTTAATTAACATTGAATTAAAAGTTTGGGAAACAATTTTTTTTCACTTTAAATATGATTAAATTTGACCAAAAGCATTGTTAGCGTTGTGAGGTATTTTTGGAATTGAACAAAAAAATTAGCCCCCCCCCCCCCCCCCAATATTGAGAAAGCGCCTCGAAATGATGATTTCTTTGCAGGGTGGCCCTGCCCTCCACCGACCCGTCGCCGCTGCCGGAGGGTTTCGTTCCGGGACGGATCGCAGAAGTGCCAGGCCCCGCGGAACTGTTCGAGCAGCAATGGCAACTTCGTCGAGCCGTCGTTGGGCAAGTACGCTTTTGCACTTTTAAATGTATTTCGGCATGAATCTGTCGGCCAAAATCGAGTTGGCCCGAATCCCGACAAGTAAAACTCCGATGGGCCAAAATACCGACAGCCAATTTCCGTGCCAGAATCCAGATGGAAAAATGCCGACAGTAAAATTCCTGTCGTAAAAAACGAGTTGGCCCACATCCCGACAAGAAAAACCCCGATGGCCCAAATTCCGACAGTCATAATACCGACAGCCAAAACGCCGACATCATTTCGACTTGACTGCTATGTGCCTTTTAACATTTTTTTTTTATTTTATGTTGCGTGTCGGCATTCTGGCTGTCGGGATTTTGACGTTTTCTCCAACTGAATAAGGGGTGAACGTTCCAAGGCAAAAGGCACGTGATTTGAGTTTTTTAGGCGTCGTCTTTTCCGCCCAAACTAACCTCGCCGCACAAATTGCAACCCGAATTATGTCCATGATTTCAGGGAGTGCGGTCCGGAAAGCAGCTCCAACTTCGTCCCAAACCTGCCGACGTCGTCGAGGTCGGGTCTGACGATGTCTCTCTCTCTCTCTCTCTCTCTCCCTCTCTCACTCTCTTCACTCTGTCTCTATATATCTCTCTCTCTATCTCTCTCTGTCTTTCTCTCTCACACGCTCTCTCTCGCTTTCGCTCTCCCTGTCTCTCTCACGCTCTCTCTCACGCTCTCTCGCTTTCTCTCCCCATCTCTCTCCCCTCTCTCCCCCTCTCACCCGCTCTCTCGCCTTCTGTCCCTCTCACCCTCTCTCCCATTCATTTTATTTTTCTCTTTCTCCCTCTCTCGCTCTTTCCCTCATTCTCTATGTCTCTCTCTCACTCACTCACTCTCAATGATGTTGTAGAAAAACAAATACGTCCAAATGCAACTTATAGGCGGTCCACGCCCGTACGGTACAACTCCACGGTGCTGTTGCTGCTCCTCCTCTAAAAGCTGCTGCACCCCATCCGAATCGTGGCGGCCGCCCCACCATCTTTAACGATGTATTTCTTTTATGTTTCGTCTTTCCGGTTTCCTCTTATTCTTACACTTATTTTAGTACATTTTCCAAGGCTTATTTTGGCGGATTCCGGCATCGACATAATTAGCAAAAATGAAGGAGTCACTTTTTCTATCGGGTCACTTTTTTGATTTGTCAAAATTGATTTTAATTTCAGCCTACAATAATGTAAAATAAAAAAGTTATAGCCAAAACATTCCTGCTGGGGGGAGTAAAGTAAAGTGTAGTCTTCTACCTTATCCATCCAGAACCAATCATTTTAGCTGGGAATCTGCAAAGAATGTGAGGAAGGCCCGCAGCCCGTTTCCAACCGCTACTCAGTGCCGGCTTGCACAAAATGCGACCACAAATTCAGGTTGGATATTGGATTGGCGAGCTTAAGGAAAGAAATTTTATCCCGTAAATCTATATCGCTAATTCTTAATTCTTAAATTCTGCAATAAACCATGTTTCGAGTCATCGGGGGCGCAGTCAACTTTATTTCTTAGATTAATTAAATAGCGGAAGTGTTTCTAAACTTTTTTTTACTATTCCTAAGCGAAAACTTGACGCATTTTGACCAAAAAATAAAAAAATGTAGATTTTTCGGTTCTTCTGCATTATCGGGGGGGTCGAGCTTTTTTGTATGCATTTAGGCATGCCTAGTAACTTAATAGGACCTGTTTTAATATATATATTTTTAAATATACCTTTACTTGAGCTAGAAAAACGATCAAAACGCTTTCAAAAAAGTCGACATTTTGGTCGAAAAATCTGTATTTTCAAATTTTCATATTTTTAATAAAGATTTACAAAGTAATGTGACTTTTATGAACAGGGAAAAACCGTGTAGAAGCATTTGCGCTGTTTATATTTGGAAAATAGATCCTAAAAAAAAGTTGGTCCCCCGATAATGCAAAAGAAAAAATTTTCAAACAAAATTTCAAAATTTGGCAATTTTTGGAAAATTTTTCCATGACTATTTTCAATTTAAGTGGCCGATCTGGTCAAAACAACTTAGCATTCATCAACAGCCTCCGGGGCAACAAAATTAGGTTTGATGAAATTAAATATCGATTCCCAGCCATTTCGCCATTCGCCTTTTACCGGAAAATTAAAAAATAAATTTCCGGTAAAAGGCGAATGGCGAAATGGCTGGGAATCGTTCAGCGTTCAGAATGTGTTTTTCAGCGGTATGCTGCTGAAGGAATTCGATGGGTGCAAATGCCGTGGAGGCGTCCGTGGGCTCCAACCACACCAAGCGTATCTTGTTCCTTTTAGGCAAATGCGGATTTTGTGTGTTTCAATCTTGGTGCGAGAAAGGCTTCAGCCGCCCCGAGGCCACCCCCGAGTGAGCAGTAAACTATTGGTAGCTACAATTTTTTTGAAAACCCATTTTTCTTGGGGTTTAATTTTTCAATTATTATTTCTCTAAACTTTACAAATTCAGATAGTGGATGTGTTTCTAAACCTTTTTTATTATTCCTAAACGTTAAAACTTTACAAATTTTTATTTGAGAATATCGAAACTGGCGATTTTTCGACCAAAAAGGCCGGGTTTTGAACAAAATTGCGATATTTTGAGCATTTACAAAATTCTATTGAGTTTTTAGATAAAATTAATTATATATTTGGGTGGTAAAACTATTAAAATTATTATTTATGAATATTCTGTCAATTAAAACATTAAAACAAAAAATAAGCTCATAAGTTAATAGGCGTTTCGATACAAAAAGTCCCCCCCTAGTAATGCAAAAGTACCCACTTTCGAAATATTGATTTTCGAAGTGATGAAAGGTTTTTATAGGAAGCGCGAAGTCATGAAGTACCACCCTGAGATCTGATGTCGCTTTACGCTCCAAGCTCCGCTCCACTACTCGCCACGATACACCAGAAGCCGAACGCCCCCTCATCTCGCCCGGCCTCACCTACCAACTGTAATAATTGATCACATCCCCCTTTCCCCCCCGTTTTGTTTTGCTACTTATGGGCTGTCGTCATCATCTTTATGTACTCACTCATCGCCTTTACCTTATATCTCGAAATTGTTCTATGACATCTTTGTATTGCGCAATCTTTGTATAATACTATTATTGGGAATGGATAATGCTGTTTTTCGGCTACAATAAATACGATACGATACTACGATACGATATCGATCCCGATATTGGCCAGAGAGAGAGAGAGAGAGAGAGAGAGAGAGAGAGAGAGAGAGAGAGAGAGAGATCCCGAGAGGGGGAGAGAGAGAGACATCCCGAGAGGGGGAGAGAGAGAGACAGACGGGAGGGGAGAGAGCGATAAAGGAGCGATATAGAGAGAGAAAGAGAGAGAGAGAGAGAGAAAGAGCGAGAGAGAGAGAATGCGAGAGATATGTGCGGTGCGGACAACCTGTTGCAAATTGCAAAGAGGGTTCTTTAAACTTTCCCGTCGTAAACCCCCAGACTCGCGGAAAACCTCTAAAACTCGCAGAAAAAACCCTAAAACTCGCGGAGCACCCCTCAAAACTCGCGGAGCACCCCTCAAAACTCGCGGAAAAAACCGTAAAACTCGCGGAAAACCCCTCAAAACTCGCGGAAAAAACCCTAAAACCCGCGGAAAAAACCGTAAAACTCGCGGAAAACCCCTCAAAACTCGCGGAAAAAACCCTAAAACCCGCGGAAAAAACCCTAAAACCCGCGGAAAAAACCCTAAAACGCGCAGAAAAAACCCTAAAACACTCATAAAAAAAACCCTAAAACTCGCGGAACAACCCTCAAAACTCGCGGAAAAACCGTAAAACTCGCGGAAAACCCCTCAAAACTCGCGGAAAAAACCCTAAAACCCGCGGAAAAAACCCTAAAACGCGCAGAAAAAACCCTAAAACACTCATAAAAAACCCTAAAACTCGCGGAACACCCCTCAAAACTCGCGGAAAAACCCCTAAAATTCGCGGAAAACCCTCAAAACTCGCGGAAAAAACCCTAAAACCCGCGGAAAAAACCCTAAAACGCGCAGAAAAAACCCTAAAACACTCATAAAAAACCCTAAAACGCGCAGAAAAAACCCTAAAACACTCATAAAAAACCCTAAAACTCGCGGAACACCCCTCAAAACTCGCGGAAAACCCTAAAACTCGCGGAACACCCCTCAAAACTCGCGGAAAACCCTAAAACTCGCGGAAAAAACCCTAAAACTCGTAGACAAAAACCCTAAATCTCGCGGAAAAAACCCTAAAACTCGCAGAAAAAACCCTAAAACTCGCAGAAAAAAACCTAAAACTCGCGGAAAAAACCCTAAAACTCGCAGAAAAAACCCTAAAACTCGCAGAAAAAACCCTAAAACTCGCAGAAAAAACCTAAAACTCGCGGAAAAACCCTAAAACTCGTAGACAAAAACCCAAAAACTCGCGGAAAAAACCCTAAAACTCGCAGAAAAAACCCTAAAACTCGCGGAAAAAACCTAAAACTCGCGGAAAAAACCCTAAAACTCGTAGACAAAAACCCTAAAACTCGCGGAAAAAAACCCTAAAACTCGCAGAAAAAACCTAAAACTCGCGGAAAAAACCGTAAAACTCGCGGAAAACCCCTCAAAACTCGCGGAAAACCCTAAAACTCGCGGAACACCCCTCAAAACTCGCGGAAAACCCTAAAACTCGCGGAACACCCCTCAAAACTCGCGGAAAACCCTAAAACTCGCGGAAAAAACCCTAAAACTCGTAGACAAAAACCCTAAATCTCGCGGAAAAAACCCTAAAACTCGCAGAAAAAACCCTAAAACTCGCAGAAAAAAACCTAAAACTCGCGGAAAAAACCCTAAAACTCGCAGAAAAAACCCTAAAACTCGCAGAAAAAACCCTAAAACTCGCAGAAAAAAACCTAAAACTCGCGGAAAAACCCTAAAACTCGTAGACAAAAACCCAAAAACTCGCGGAAAAAACCCTAAAACTCGCAGAAAAAACCCTAAAACTCGCGGAAAAAACCTAAAACTCGCGGAAAAAACCCTAAAACTCGTAGACAAAAACCCTAAAACTCGCGGAAAAAACCCTAAAACTCGCAGAAAAAAACCTAAAACTCGCGGAAAAAACCGTAAAACTCGCGGAAAACCCCTCAAAACTCGCGGAAAAAACCCTAAAACCCGCGGAAAAAACCCTAAAACGCGCAGAAAAAACCCTAAAACACTCATAAAAAACCCTAAAACTCGCGGAACACCCCTCAAAACTCGCGGAAAAACCCTAAAATTCGCGGAAAACCCCTCAAAACTCGCGGAAAAAACCCTAAAACCCGCGGAAAAAACCCTAAAACGCGCAGAAAAAACCCTAAAACACTCATAAAAAACCCTAAAACGCGCAGAAAAAACCCTAAAACACTCATAAAAAACCCTAAAACTCGCGGAACACCCCTCAAAACTCGCGGAAAACCCTAAAACTCGCGGAACACCCCTCAAAACTCGCGGAAAACCCTAAAACTCGCGGAAAAAACCCTAAAACTCGTAGACAAAAACCCTAAATCTCGCGGAAAAAACCCTAAAACTCGCAGAAAAAACCCTAAAACTCGCAGAAAAAAACCTAAAACTCGCGGAAAAAACCCTAAAACTCGCAGAAAAAACCCTAAAACTCGCAGAAAAAACCCTAAAACTCGCAGAAAAAAACCTAAAACTCGCGGAAAAACCCTAAAACTCGTAGACAAAAACCCAAAAACTCGCGGAAAAAACCCTAAAACTCGCAGAAAAAACCCTAAAACTCGCGGAAAAAACCTAAAACTCGCGGAAAAAACCCTAAAACTCGTAGACAAAAACCCTAAAACTCGCGGAAAAAACCCTAAAACTCGCAGAAAAACCCTAAAACTCGCAGAAAAAACCCTAAAACACTCATAAAAAACCCTAAAACTCGCGCAACACCCCTCAAAACTCGCGGAAAAACCCTAAAACTCGCGGAAAACCCCTCAAAACTCACGGAAAAAAACCCTAAAACCCGCGGAAAAAACCCTAAAACTCGTAGACAAAAACCCTAAAACTCGCGGAACACCCCTCAAAACTCGCGGAAAAACCCTAAAACTCGCGGAAAAACCCTAAAACTCGCGGAAAAAACCCTAAAACTCGCAGAAAAAACCCTAAAACTCGCGGAGTAAACCTCAGGCTCGCGGAGCAAACCTTAAAACTGAATTCCGGTCACTTCGCCTAAACCCGTATCGCCTAAAACCCATATATACCCATTCGCCGAATACCCATTTCGCCTACATTTTTGGCCATTCTCATAGTTGAATTTTCGACAAAAAAGGTTCGAAATCGGTCAAAAATACAGCATTGAAAATGGCCAAAAATTTAGGCGAAATGGGTATTCGGCGAAACGGGATTTAGGCGAAATGGGTTTTAGGCGATATAGGTTTAAGCAAAACGGGTTTTAGGCGATATGGGTTTTAGGCGATATGGGTTTAGGCGAAACGGTTTAGGCGAAGTGGTTCTAGGCGAACCGGCCGTCACCCGTTAAAACTCGCGGAAACAAAACCAAAATCGCGGGTTTTGTTTATCTTCACCCGATCGTCTAGTCCAGTCGTCAACTTCTGGTCACTAGAAAATGGCATTTTTGGGTAGGAGTATGATCGAATTTTCTGAATCCAATAACCTCTCCTCCTAAGACCCAAAATCGATTACATAAGTTGTCTAAATTACAGCCCGCATTTCCTCCTGGCCACTCACTCCACCACCCCTTTCTAACTCTCTCTCACTCTTTCTCTCTCGCTCTCTCGCTCTCTCTCGCTCTCTCTCGCTCTCTCTCTCGCTCTCATGCTCTCTCTTTCTCGCTCTCTCTTTCTCGCTCTCTCTTTCTCGCTCTCTCGCTCTCACACTCTCACTCTCTCACTCTCTCTCTCTCTCGCTCTCTCGCTCTCACGCTCTCACTCTCTCACTCTCTCTCTCGCTCACACTCTCTCTCACTCTTTCTGGCGCCCTCCCTCTCTCTCTATCTCTCTCTCGTTTCTCTCTCTTTCTCTCGTTTCTCTCTCTTTCTCTCGTTTCTCTCTCTTTCTCGTTTCTGTCTCCAACCTAGTCAAAAAAGATAGTTATAAAATATTTATCGACGCGGCAAATAGGAGTCAGTATCAAATGCAGGCCGGTATACAAGCAATAAAGATAGAATAAGCAAGTAAGTACACAAACACAAGTCAGCTCATATCGCATCGAAACAGAGGGTAAGAGGGCAAGCAGGGATCATTAATATTAATGAAGGAAAGTAGTCCCAAGTCGAGGTTTAGAGAAGTCATGCAGCGTAAAAGAGGGGCGTGGCCGAGCCGTTCGGATCGCAGGGTAGAAGGTAGGTACGGTAGATGACGATGTGGTAGCGACGGAAGTGGATGGACTGGAAACAGGTTGTTTTTGGTGTTATTAAAAGCAAAACGGAAGCGTCTTTAAACCTTTTTTGATTTTTAATATCCAAAACGGAAAAATGGCATTAAAAATACGAAAAATGTCTCTGAAAATTTCGGTACAGGGCTAACCTCAGACCCAATTTTTTAATTTTAAAAGGTTTTTGTATAGTTTTTCACTTGCAACATAGTTAAATTTTGCTAAAAACCCTACTGGAATACGCACGATTAAATGAGTATCCATCTTGAACAAAAATGAAAAATTTCTGTCCCCGCGATAATGCGAAAGCACCGTTTCAAGAATTTTCGCCCGGGTTTTATCTACTTTACGTAAAAAGATGCCAAAATCCCGAAAACGAAAATCCCGACAGCCATAATACCGACAGCCAGAATCGCGACAGCCAGGATCACGAAATGCTTTTTTGCCCCATAAATGGCTTTACCAGGTGGGGTTTCTGGCTGTCGAGAATTTAGCTGTCAGGATTTTGGCTGTCGGGATTATGGCCGTCGGGATTATGGCTGGAATTCATTTTACATACAATCAGTGGTGTGTAGTTGTCGTCTAGTGTTGTCCTGCCGCATTCACTCGTCCTCCTCGCTCGGCTCGGGACGCCGAAATCCCTTGGCGACATAGTCCTCGGCGACGATGCATGCGGCACATCGCCTTTTGCCCTTGCAAGAGCAGGCAGTGTCCAGTCGAGGGAGCAGACACCTGAAAATCAGATATTTTCTTTTGCAACGAATGACTCTCAAAAGTTGTGTTAGTTTTTATCATTTATATTTTTTATATGGTTTATTTTAATTTTGTCCAAATATCATTTTATGGAAATTTCTTTTTGTCGAAAGTCCGATGCCTTTTTCGCGTCGATTATTCATCTCAAAATTTCGCAACTTGCCATTTCTAAACAAATTTTATTACTAATTAAAAACGTCGAAAAGTCTGAATTTTGAATTTTGTGAATTCGGAGGTTAGCATGGACAGCCTAGTTTTTATATGTTTCGTATCTGATACCTAACAAAGCTATAAAAGTTTTTAACCATTCAACAAAACAGCTATCTTGACCGGAAACTGGGTACGTTTCGGTCATTTTTCAAACATAAAATATCAAAAATTCAAAACGTGAAATCAAAACTTTCCAAAATTCGCTGAAATTTTTCACTTTAAAGCGCACGTTCAGGGAGGGGCCGTGTACTCGTCCCAACGTGTACACCCTATGGACGTAGGGACCGCGCGCACTGTCTGCCCGTGCTGTGACAGGCCATTCCCCTTCTTTGCGGCGTGGGGCGCCCCTCGCCCCCTCGCCAGGTTGTAGCTGTGGCTGACTGGTATCCATCCGCGCCTCCCGAACGGGGGACCCGGGTTCGACCCCCGGCCGCGGCAAAAACCTTTGCTTTTTTCCAAAAAAACGTCCCTGAACGTGCCCTTTAAAGCTTTTAAAAATAGCTTTTTTATCTAAAAACTTTGCTAGTGCTATGAAAATGGTTTATATTTCGGGCGTAGGGATTAATGGGAAAAACTTAGTTCCCCTTGCTAACTTTTCAGCCTTCCTCCCACCGTTAACAGTCCAGTACCGACAAAGCAGATGACACCCACCAAAATCGATGGTCGCAGCGGCGACACGCCGGAACACTGAAACGTAACGACACCGGCACCAGTTCTTCTAAGCATTTGGCGCACGTACCGATCTGAAACAAAAACTTTCTGGGTTCTGCATTCTTTTCGCATTTCGCATTTTTATTAGGAAACAAATTTGCTAAATATAGATAGCGGAAGTGTTTCTTAATTGTTTTTCCTAACCCTAAATGTCAACGTTACAAAATTTTAGTACAAGATACAGAAAATAGATTTTTCGACAAAGGAAGGGACGTTTTTTGAGCAAGACTTTTTGAAAAAATTTCGAAATTTTTTGCATAGTCCTGCTAGTTAGGATATAACTTTACTTTTCTAAAAACGTGATGAAATGTTTCCTATTTCTAAGTTAATAAAAAAATTGCGGGAGCAAAAAAGAGCAAAGGGCAAAAAGGGCACGCATGTTAATCGTGTTTTTACCAAATTTAATTATATTTCAAGTGGAAAACTATCCAAAACCTTTTAAAATTAGAAATTTGGTTTTATTTTGCGGAGATTTTTAGTGGTCTTTGATGCTAAAAGGTTATAAAAAATTGAAATGGAAAATTTTTGGAAATGAATTGGGATCAAAAACAACCTTAAAAAAATTTTAATCCGATTTTTTGGTGGACAATTCCATATTTTTTTTGTATCTTTCAGTCCGCTCATATTAAGCTTTTATCCTTTTGTTTTGTATGTTTAAGTATTTTATTATTAGTTTTTCCGTTTAGACAAGTAGAAAAATATCTTAGGGAAATATTTATATTACTAAAATAACATACGGCCACGAAAATGCTTGGACGTCCACCGACGTTGGGTGCTGGCGGCTGAACGGGCTGGGCGGCGAGTGGAACGGCTTGAGGTGCAGGTTGAGCATCAGCTCGATGGTCGCGCGGTGCATCCACTTGCCGAACTTGTTCATCCACACCTTCACGAGCATCTCTGGCAGGCGGATCGGCATCTTCGCCACGATCGTCAGCCACTTCTCCGGCTGGTAGTAGTTGTAGTAGTAAAAGGAGCTGAGCAGCGAGTACTGGATCGGCGCCGTGACGAGGGTCGGGGACGGCTAATTGCAGTTGCTGCGGATGAACAACTTGAGCGGCTTCGTGGGCAGGTTGTCCGGCTTGACCTCGAGCGACTCCGGCCCGTTCGTCTTCATCTCCTTCAGGATGCTGGTCATCAGCTTCTCGGGCCGGTACGCCGTCACCGTCTCGAGGAAGGGTGGGTGCAGCGTCGCCTGCCTAGAAAAATGCATTTTTCCAAGTTTTATATGCTAGGAGAGAGCGAGCGAGAGAGAGAGGGGAGAGAGCCAGCGAGAGAGCGAAAGAGAAAGAGAGGGATAGAAAGAGAGAGAGAGAGAGAGAGAGAGAGAGAGAGAGAGAGAGGGACGATAGAGCGAGAGAGCCAGAGGAGAGAGAGAGGGGGGGGGAGAGAGAGAGAGAGGGAGAGAGAGAGCGAGAGAGAGAGAGATAGAGAGAGACAGAGGCAGACAAATAGTGCAAGAGAAATCTGCGGTGCGGACAACGTGTGCAAATTTTTGTAAAATATTTATTCGAAGTACGGTAGAAAAAACGTCAGTGAGGAGTCAGTATGGGGGGGGGGAATTGGGGGCTGGTCGGGTCAGTACTCTGCTAAATATGCTAATTTCCGGGCCCTAATCGGGCAATGGGTTTTAATTCTAAATCAACGACACATGCTTTCTTTACATCTAAAACTAACTATAAACTAATTCTAAATCGAAGGCTTAAAAATTCTTTAAAAATTGCACGGGGGATGGGTTGGCTTAAGGCCTGACCGGCGGGTCGGGCGGGGCGGCAGCTTCGGGAGCATCGGCTGGAGCTGCAGCTGGAGCTGGAGGCGGAGCTGTAGCCGGAGCGACGGTCTCTTCGTACTCGTCAAGATCGTCGTCGTACTGTAAATTCAAGCTCAACGAAATTTCCCAACAAAAATTTGTTTAAGTCTATGAATGCCTAGAAACTTGATAGGAATTATCTCAAGAATGTTCTTAGTAAAATAAAACTATGTTTCAAGTATACAAACTATCACAAAAGAATCTCAAAAATTTTTAAGTTATTGTTTTACTAATTGTAAGCATTTAAATTTTAATTTCTTTAAATAGCGATATTTTAGATGCTTTAATAAAAATTTGTAAAGTCCTTACGCTTAGGAATATTAAAAACAGCCGAGAAACACTTCTGCTATTTGTAGTTAAAATCTGGTTCCTAAGAAAATGAGTTCCCCCCCCGATAATGCGAAAGAACCGAACTTATGACTGACCCGTTCGATGACAGGAGTCGTTCCAGCGCTGGGCGGGTCGGTGACGATGGCGGCCTGGTGGATGCGGTGCACCTCCTCGTCCTGCCAGCCCGAAAAAGCCGGTGCCTTCTAAAAGAAACATTCAACTGTAAGCTTTTATGAAAAAGCAAAAAGTCTTGGCACGGCCGGGGGTCGAACCCTGACCCTGTGCGCGTCAAGCGAACACAAAAAAAGGTGCCAACAGGTCGAGGGGATCGGGAAAAGACAGGCCCTCTTCCTCCAGGCTTGGCTTAGGCTTAGCTTAGGCTTAGCTTAGGCTTAGCTTAGGCTGAGCTTAGGCTTAGCTTAGGCTGAGCTTAGGCTGAGCTTAGGCTGAGCTTAGGCTTAGCTTAGGCTTAGCTTAGGCTTAGCTTAGGCTTAGCTTAAGCTTAGCTTAGGCTTAGCTTAGGCTTAGCCTTGCCTGCTTTCGCCGTAGTAATCTTCTCCTCCCCACCGCTAGCAGTCCAGTACCGAAAGAACACCCACGTTTGGTCGTGGCAGGATATCCTCCTCCACTGGCAACCCAAACTTCTTGCCGAATTCGCGGCGGCGCGACGCCGTCAGGCCCTCGTTCCGCTCGACCATGAGCCGCAATTCGGTTGACTAAATAAAATAGTAAATTAGAAGTTTTATTATGTTTATTAGTAATCATATTAAAGAGAACATTTTCTAAGAGACTATTTCTCATTATAAATAGCGGCAGTGTTTCTAAGGCTTTTTTGCTATGCTTAAACCTCAAAACTTGAAAAAATGTATTGAAAAATACAAAAAATATAGATTTCGTGAACAAAAATCGCCGTTTTTTGACCAAAATTTGGATTTTTAGAAATCTTTCCATTTTGAAAAAGTTTTCTAGTCAAAACATAGTTCTATTTAAAATAAAAAGATTATGATTTCTATGAAGTTCCCAGAGATACAATTTAGTACAAAAATTTCTCCCCCCCGATAATGCGAAAGAACCGAAAAATCAATTTTTTAATGTATTTTTAATAAAAATTTGTAAACCTTTTGCGTTTAGGATAAAGAGTAGAAAACCGTTGAGAAACACTTGCAATATTTATATTTGAAAAGTGAAATTAGAAATTAATTTTTGGGGCCCGTCCCACCTTGCGCATGTACATGCGTCGTGCGCGTACGTATTCGGCTTCCCTGGCCTCGGTGGTGACCTTCAGCGCAGGGATGGTCGTCACATCCAGCTCGTTCAGCTTCTGAAAAACGATAGTTGTTATAAAAATATCGACCAGCTGACAAAAATATAAAAAATTTTTATTTTTTGAAGGTAAATTTATATCTAAAATTTTGGGTCCAAAAATCGATATTTTTGTCTGTTTTCATCAAAAAATTTTCAGAGCAAAGTAAAAAAACCATAATAGCTTTTACATTCACGTATAGTCAAAAAGAGCTCAGAAACACTTACTGTATTTATTTTTGGAAAATTAGAACCTTAACAAATAAAATAAAATTACGTCGCTGAGCTGCTTGTAAGTTAGGTTCGAGAACTCGGTCTCAAACCGTTGATCAGCGCGGATGAATCGTCGCACAACCCTCTTCTGGAAATCCCCCTCGTGCAGTTGCCGATCATTGGGCAGCGGCTGAAAAAAGAAACCATAATATCATCATATACACGGCAGCCGGTCCTTTCGCATTAAAGGGGCTACGAAATTCCAAAAATTCAGTGACGCCCGAAAATCGGAGCCCTGTACGTCGGAGGCCTCTGTACACCCAGGAGCCCGGGAAGCTCGGAAATTTGAAATTGCCTGTTGTCACCTCGAAATCACGTTCTCGGCTGTTTCTGGACCAAATTTGATGCTTAAAACACCAAAACTATTTAAAATTAAGTGAGGATTTCAAAAATGGGCTCAGAATGTGCAAATTATAGTGTGTTCACAAAGAAACCGGGCAAGAAAAACTTCGCGCAAAAATCGAAAGAGTGAGTGCTCTGGTCCCGCAGCGCCCGCTGGCAATTTGCCAGAAATCAAAGAGGCCTCCCAAAAGGGCTTTGATTTGGCATTTCGGAGCCCCTTTAAAGGGGGCCGGCAAAGCCTAAGCCTATGCCTGAAGCCAAGCCTAAGCCTGAGCCTGAAGCTAAGCCTAAGCGAAGCCTAAGCTAAGCCTAAGCTAAGCCTAAGCTAAGCCTAAGCTAAGCCTAAGCTAAGCCTAAGCTAAGCCTAAGCTAAGCCTAAGCTAAGCCTAAGCAAAAAAATGGGCTACGGTTTACTTTACCCCCCCCCCCAGCCGAACGGTTTTCGCTATAACTTTTTTATTTTACATTATTGTAGGCTCAAATTAAAACTCTTAGTATATTTTTCGACGCTCTATCGAATGGCGTTGCGAAAATCCCGACAAAATAAGCGAAAATACCGACAACTTTGAGACCCTTCGGCTGTGGGGGGGTAAAGTAAACTCTTACCAAAAAATGCCTCCCCCCCCTCCACATAATGCGAAAGAACCCGACTCCCAATAGAAAGTTGGTACTGGACTGCTAGCGGGGGGACTAATTTTTTGCAGTAATCCTGTACGCCTGTAATTTGTTTCTAAATTTTTTAAGTTTGTAGTGTAACAGAAAATGGTAAAAATACAGCAAAATTTTCGATATTTTAAAAATATCAAAAATATTTTTCTAGGTCAAAATCTCAAAACTTTACATTATCAAAAATTGAGTTTCCCCTGCTAGAATCCCCCCCCCCGCTAACAGTCAAGTACCCAAAAAGTGAAGCTCGCAAAGCGGTGCCCACCTTCGATATTGGGTTTGGCGCCGACAGGGTGTATCCGGGTGCAGCGCGCTCGAGATCCTCGGCCTTCCACGCATTCACGAGTCGGGCTTCCTGTTCGTTGTTGAAGCGGTCGATCGTTCTCCGGATCATCCTGGCAACATATATCTGAAATGGATATGACGGTGGTAAGGTATTTAATTGGGTTCTGAACTGTTAGCGGGGGGGGGGGTGGAGGCGGAAGATTCCCGGGGGGAACTATTTTTCCAGGCGATCCCGGTTGGCCTGGTAAGCAAATATCAAGTGTTTCTACATTATTTTTAGTACGTTTTAACACGAGTTAAGGTGGAAAGGCTTTCAAAAAAAGTTCGAAAAGCGTTTGAAAAGTCGAAACTTTGTTCATTTTAGGCCGTGAAAACAATGTTTCGGCCTACAGCTACCTTTTTAATTTGTCAGCTTACTTACGAAATTTGGGACCGAAATTATCATTGTTACTTTTTTGGTTTTTTTTTCAAACATTTTCGAGAATTTTCGAAAGTTGTTCCTATTTTTTATATGGTTTTTATAGCCAAAATAAAAACTATGAAAGCTGCCATAAAATTGTTTAAATTTGGCTAGAGGGCTGTAGAGGATCACAGGGAAAGGTTAGCCCCCCCCCGCTAACAGTCCTGAACCGGACACTGCAACCCAACCCTCAAAAGATTAACCTCGTGTTGGAGGGCAGCTTGTGCTGAACGCATCTCCGTCTCGGCCCGTTCCATTTTGATGAGACAATCCTCTTCTTCGAGGTGTAGCTGCCGATTGTCCTTCTGCAAAAAATCGTTCTTTAAGATTCGCGGGGGAACCAATTTTGGGCTGAACTCCAGTTAACCCCCCCCAGCCAGCACCCATCTACCGTATCTCGGCTCCCTGTTCATCTACAGGTGTGTACAGTATACCAAAATATTCGCCATGCTTTGGCGAGTATTTTGGTGTACTTCACACACCTGTAGATGAACAGGGAGCCGAGATACGGTAGATGGGTGCCGGCTGGGGGGTAAACTGAAACTTAAGCCCTTTACACTAATGATACTCTAATCCTACCGTATTTTATCTGGGACACGCAAAAAGCAAAACAGCATGAAGGGAGAAAGAGACAAGGGAAAAAGACAAAAAAGCGGAAACTGACCGGCTCCTCATCATTTTCAGCGGCCATCGTCGTAATCTGGTCGACGGAAGTGAAGAAAATCTCGGAGCGGTAGAACGGATTTTTTTTTTGTGTGAATGGCGCCAACAGGAATTTTTTTGCTTCGGAAAATTTTATGCTAATACTGCCTATATCCGGTACTACGGTATTTTATGCAAATTGCAGATGCAAATTTTTTACATCTTGACTGGTTCTTTTGGCTGCGGCCGGTGGTGTAGTTTATGATTTACCGGCGTAATGCCAAATTTTCATAACACCGAATTTTTTCAGGGCGCCGAATTTGGCAAGACTGAGGGCTTTGGTAAGACCCGTCCACGGCCCATATTCTCAGCCGTGGGCCCCTATTAATGCGCCGGATCACTCTAAATGGGCGCCGTGAACAAAAATGGAGAAGCGGTTATTTTGGTTTGTCACAATTTATAGCGAATTCATACTATTTGTTTAATTTTCATTGTTTTGCGTTTTTAAAATTTTTTTAATGGTACCCCGGCATTACGACTTTTGGTGGAACACCAACATTTTACGTCGTCGTCTATGCTCGAACCTGCTCAAATCAAGGCAGCAGCCCGAGGACATGATCCTTCATGGCTTTCCATCGCTCTCTCTCTCTCTCTCTCTCTCTCTTTCTCTCTCTCTCGATCTCTCTCAATCAGTCTCTGTCTATTTCTCTATCACACACCCACGCTCATCCTCTCTCTCTTTCTCTCGCTCTCTCGCTCTCTTTCGCTCTCCCCCTCTCTCGCTCCCTCTCTGACTCGCCCTCTCTCTCTCTCTCTCTCTCTCGCTCTTACTCTCGCTCTCGCTCTATCTCGTTCTAGCTGTCTCTCGTTCTCGCTCTCTCTCTCTCTCTCGCTCTCCCCCTCTCTCGCTCCCTCTCTCACTCGTCCTCTCTCTCGCTCTTACTCTATCTCTCTCTCTCACTCTCTCGTTTACCAGCCCCTTTAAGGAGCAGATTTCCGCTCGCCTGGCCGCGTCGAGAGATTTTTTGCGGGTGCGGTGATGAAGCGGGTTGGGGCGAGAGATTCCCGAGGGAATGGAGTGCCAGAGAGACAGAAGAGAGAGAGCGAGAGAGAGAGAGCGAGAGAGAGAGAGAGAGAGAGCGAGAGAGAAAGGGCCCGCCAGGGGCCATCGATCCGGGCCCTAGGTCCACCCGGAGAAGGCCATCCCCCCGTGGTGGCCCCTTCTCTGCCCGAGTGCGAGGGCCCTCGACGAGGGGCCCCCTCTAAGCAACCGGTGGGCCCCAACCAGGGCCACACCACGGGCCCTCGTCGGGCCCTTCCCCCCAAAAAGGGCCCCCGACCCTTTTAATCACCCAGATTTATGGGCCCTCGTATTAAGCGGCGCGTGCTTGTTGACTTTGAGAATGTGTTTTTGCCTTTTGCGGTCCTTTAGAGCGGCTTTCGTTTCGTTCTTTTTTACATTCTTATGGATGCTTATCTATTATATCTAACTATTTATATAGGTATCCCTAATGCGTGAAAACGCTGTTTCCTCTATTTTTCAGCTATTTTTAGCCATAAAACGCCGAGAAAAGCGATTCATAAGTGCCTGAAAATTGGCGTACAGTCAGAGACGACGAGGCCGATCATCAGGATTTTATTTGAATTCTATTTAATGGTTTTTGCTTTAAAATCGCTAAGATTTTGCCATTCATCTTTTTTTAAAGTAAACCAGCGCTGAAAAACCGCGTCGCGGTTTTCAAACCTTTCCGTGTGAATCCCGGCCGAAAAAAAATATCAAAAAACGCCGTGCGCTGCCTATTTTTATAGAAGCGCCCCCACCGGCGAATGCTATCCATCCTAACCTAATTTTATGACTAAAGATAGAAATTTTGAAAATAAAAAACACTCCCTTCAACTCCACGCAGAGGTATCGGATCGGAATGGCAGTTCCACCACTCAAAATTCCTTCGCCTAAATTTTCGTGACCATGTTTTTATTGAAACCCACTCTTTGCAACGCACATAAAAACATTAACGATAGAAACCTCTGCAACTAATTAACGGTATTTTTGTCATCATTTTGCAGGGAAAATTTAGGCAAATCGGCTCGTTTGCAATCCAGAAAACCCGCGAAATGTCGCAAAATCGTTTGAAAATAGAAACATGGGTTTGGAGTTAGTTGGAAACTCGCTCTGTCATGGGCTTTCGAATGGTGTGACTTTCATTTAGAATGTGCAAATACTTCGTCGAGTTACAGGAGATGTTTTTATTGGGACACCCGATGGTCGGCGCAGTATTAACCTGCATTTTTTTTCATGAAACCAATGCAATACTTAAAACATTCATCCGTTTTTTGCTATTCCGAAACGTAGAAACTTTCCAAATGTTTTTTAAAAAATGCAAAAAATATAGATTTTTGGATCAAAATTTCCGACTCTTTGAAAATTTTGCACGGTTTTTCCTATAGTTTTCGTTTTCGTTTTCTTTTACTAAAAAAATTATGAAAATGCTTCCTTTGAAGTTACTCGACATTTCTAGATTAATCCAAAAACGTCTGTCCAAAAAGGCAATGGCTCTAGCCGAACTGACCGGAATTCGGTCCGAATTAGGGAATTTTGAGTGCACCCTGTCGATCCAGGCAAACCCGATGGAGTCCAGCGGGTCTGCGGGTGGTGTCTTTTCGATGTTTTTGCAGAGGTCCCGGTTGCGCCAGCGAATTCGTCCCCCCCCGGTCCTCCGCCCATTTGATCGGACGGGCCAAATGACCAGCTGTTCGCACTTCACCCGCAACCCACACCACAGGCTTTTCCCCCACCCGTCCCGCCCACAATCCGTCTGCAAACAAAATACCCGCACACTGGGCCCCTATTTTTGGGACCCCACGTCCCGAAATCTGGCCCTAGCATTAAAGCGTCTCTGCCAGCTTGCCCATTTTTCGATTTGCATCAATAATGCCGAATTTTCATTGGCGCCAATTTCATAATGCCGATTTTTTTTCGTTCCTACGCATTATCGGCGGGGGAGGTTTTTTCTAGGCATCAATTTTTAAAATCTAACTAGCATGTGATTCTAAACTAAGCTTTTCCTATTACAAAGCAAAAAACTTCACAAATTTTTAATTAAAAAATACAAAAATATTCTCTTTCGACCAAAATTGGCCGCTTTGACCAAGCCTTCGATTTGTGAAGCTTTTTTAGATAGTTTTTCCATTTGAACTATAGTTTTATTTGACAGCAAACATTATGAAAATATTTTTCTGGCGTAACCCGAAAAAATTTTGTTCTTTTAGAATTTAGAATGTTTTTTAGAAGTAAAGATTTTACAACTAATAGATCGTCCGCTAATTCGATTCCATTCAACAAATTTTAAAGCAAAATATTGTGAAACATTTTAACTAAATTTGCGTACATCAAAAATTCTCCAGCGGAAGAAGAGTGCTCTCTTCATTTTTGCTACGCAAGTCGAGGCCGAAATCCGAAATCCCGGCCGTCTCGATTTCCCCAATGGTCTCTGTTAGCATGCCCTGAAATCATATCATTCGTCCTTCAACATTAATGAAACAACTGCTTGAGCTCAATGTTGCAACCATAATTTCATCTCTCTGCCTCTCTCTCGCTCTGATCCTGTCGCTCTCTCTCCTATCTCTCGCTCTCCCTCTTTCTCTCTCACTTTGTCCTTGGTTTTGCCCTGAGGGCAATTAGGAAAAGTAGGATGGATGGCTTTTCTAGCGATTCCGAATGGGGGGAGGGTCTCCTTCTTTGGGTGGCTGAGGCCTCGCCACGAATTGTTTATTGGAGGCGAGAGAGCGAGAGAGAGAGAGAGTGAGCGAGAGAGAGAGAGAGAGAGTGGGCGAGAGAGAGTGGGCGAGAATCGAAACCTCCTACCCAAGCCCCGAGTTTGAGCACGACCCATCCGAACGGGAATTCAAATGTTCCACCACATCCCCTTGCCTGAAACTGTTTCTCCGCAATATTAGGCTCGCCTGTCCTGTTCTTGTTCCTGTTTTTACATTGCGTAATAGGATTGTCATTTCCAACATTAATTTCTTAAAATTTCTCCTTGCAAGACCCTCTATGGCATAGACCTTGTCAATGCCTTTAAAAAATCGTGCTTCAAGGTACAATCCCATCTCGGTCGGCTTGAATCCATTAATATATCTTCCAGGTCAACAGGGTTTTCTCGCATTATCGGGGGGGTTTCACAGCGGAATTTCTGATTTTTCAAGCATTTCTATTAAAAACCATTCTTCCCTCGATAATGCAAAAGCACCAGACCGTCAAATGCAGATTTGCTACCATAAAACCGAAATTTCAATCTGTCGAAATATTCCGACATCCTGAAATGTCGGCATTATAAATTTCGGCATTCTGTAATTCCGACATTCTCATGTTTCGAACTAGAGATATTTCGACATCCCGAAAAAAGACAATCCTCGGAATGCCTTCTGAATATCGACATTCTCGTTATTTGATATGTGAATTTCGACATTTGAAGTTGCGGCATTATATATTTCGGCATTTTCAAAGGAAGCCGAAGCCCCCCCTCGCTAATGCAAAAGCACCGGGGACCCCCAATTCCATGATGAGTATCTTCTGGGTGGGTATTTCGGGAGGGTAGATGGGTTTGGTGGGTGCATCGTCGGGAATGGAATGGAATGGATGGGTGGCCAGGAGGAGGAGCATTAGAAAGAGAAGAGAAGGAGAGAGAGAGAGAGAGAGAGAGAGAGAGAGAGAGAGTCGGAGAAGTAGAAGGAGGATGAGGAGGAAATAGCTTGTGCTGATACTTCTCCGCCTCTATTCTGCTCCCCCCTCACTTCCGTCTGGCCCCTCTCACTTCTGGGTACTCTCTCGCGGGGGGTTCCCGTCCATCCATCCCTCCCGCATACACCACACATACATTCACATACAGAGCCAGAGAGAGAACGAGAGAGAGAGAGAGAGAGAGAAAGACATACTTCCACACCCCTTCTCTCCACCCATCACCCCCAAAACATCAATCCGAAACCAGTAGTCCGCGGTGCACGGTTTTTGCAATTGTTTTTTTTGGTTTTAAAGTGCGATTAAAGGTT